CATTCAATTAGTAGTAGTACTCTGCTAGGGCCCAGTTTCCTGAAGGAGGCTGGGTCCCCATTGTGCTGGGTACTATAATTACACCCATGAGAATTCACTTAAGGTACTTTATCTCTACATTTTATGGGGTTTAGAAATAATTTATTTGGCCATACCATAATCTAGGCATATCTGAAACAGCTTTACAAACACTGTACAGCTAAAGACCATTGCTCTTTGAAGTAGTAGAGCCTATTATCTCTGCAAAGATCTCCACCATGTTACCAATTGAAACTCAATATTGTATATGGTATCATAATAAAGCTCAGGTAAATCCAACTCTACATGCTCCACTTCATTATTAAAAAGGCACTTGATGTAATCAGTAAACAAAACAAGTCACACAAGAGAAATTGACCTCAGTGAGGAGGCAAGTAAAGTCAAAGACCAAAACAAAGAGGTTCTGCTAATCCTTTCACGGATGTGCCACCCATTATTATTTCATTAGTTTTTTATACAAGGAAGAATTTTAAATACGATGCCTGGAGCGCTCTCTCTGCTTGAGACACGGGACTTCTGGGAAGTTTTCAATCTACTTTTTTTTTGTATGCTTGTATTTGCAAATTGAGGATTGGTAGCCTCAAGCCTTGAAGCATAGTTCTCGCAGCTAAAGTTCATGGCACCTGAGGAATACAGTGCCCAAGTCTATTTTAAATGGACGCTTATTTTTTACCACCCCCCACCATAGGTAAGATGCATCTCCTCCACACATGAGGATCACACATAGGCTATAGCTACACTGGCGCTTTACAGCGCTGCAACTTTCTCACTCAGGGGTGTGAAAAAACACCCCCCTGAGCGCAGCAAGTTACAGTGCTGTAAAGCGCCAGTGTAAACAGAGCTCCCAGCGCTGTAAACTAATCCCCTCGTGGAGGTGGAGTACCTGCAGTGCTCTCTCCCAGCGCTGGCACGCGACCACACTCCCACTTCAAAGCACTGCTGCGGGAGCGCTCCTGCGGGAGCACTTTGAAGTTTCGAGTGTAGCCATGGCCATACAAATGACCTATTGGACATTGTTCTTAAATTGAAGTTGCTTCCATATATGGCCAGAGGTTCCTCTTTTACCCCCATTTTAACAGTGTAAAAATATTAAACTATTTTTAAGATCATGGCTAAATGCTAGAAAGGAATTCTACATAGACATGAAATGTCTAGTTAAAAATAAATCAAACAATATCTATTCAGAGGCACTTTTTACAATCCCTAGAGATGCAATATATATCTATTTTGTATAATGGCAAGGAGAATACTTTGATGTTTATATATAAACTGATCAATCAACTATACCTTAAACCAGATAGAATAAATGCCAATTCTCACTGTTAGTATTGAAGTATGGAATACCAAATCAATTTTAAAGAGAAATATTTTGTATTTGGGATTTAAAGCTGAGGACATTTTATATTTGGGATATAAGCAATGTATCTGTAGAAATTCTTAGCTTGTTATTTAAAAATTACACACACTTTCCACACCATAAATGTGTAAGAACAAGTACCAAATCCTGGGATCTTTAAATAAAATCAGTTAAAAGTTATCAAGAGTTGAGACAACCAAGATTACATATGTAAGGGTTTTTTCTTTCCAAATTCCTAAGATATGAGAAACGAGACATTTGTCCTTCCAACTAATAGGTCATTTTTTAAGCTGGGCAGACCTGGGTTATAAGTATATGAGTCAAACAGTTTATTCATACATCAGATTGTTCAACAGGTCTAGTGCTTGAATCACTATTTGTCAGAAAGCTCCGTTTCTACGAAGTTTCAATTATGGATAGGTCTCATTTAAATTTTTCATCAGCTGCATTTACGGTTTCTAAATTATTCAGCCCTACAAGCATTTTAAGTTCCATAGCAAAACTGGAACAGAGACCTAAGAACTCCCCTATTCCTATACTGGCTAGAACTTCTGAGTTTTTGGGAAAAACAACAAGGAGTCTGGTGGCACCTTTAAGACTAACAGATTTATTTGGGCATAAGCTTTCGTGAGTAAAACCCTCCCTTCTTGGGATGCATCGGAAGAGGTGGGGTTTTTACTCACGAAAGCTTATGCCCAAATAAATCTGTTAGTCTT